GTTTCAATTCATGCTCAGAACATTATACATGAGCTGCATTATAGTTTGCAAATGCCGCCTTGTAGTTTGAGAATGCTGCCTTGTAGTTCGTGAATGCTGCCTTGTGGTTAGAACACTATATATGAGTTACATTATAGTTTGCAAGTGCCGCCTTGTGGTTATACTACTCTGCCTTGTGGTTTTAATTATGCTTAGAACACTATATGAGTTATTTTATAGTTTGCAAGTGCCGCCTTGTGGTTTGAGAATGCTGCCTTGTAGTTTGAGAATGCTGCCTTGTGGTTATACTACTCTGCCTTGCCTAATTTAATGATGAGTTATATTATAGTTTGCAAGTGCCGCCTTGTGGTTTGAGAATGCTGCCTTGTAGTTTGAGAATGCTGCCTTGTGGCTATACTACTCTGCCTTGCCTTGTGGTTTTAATTATGCTTGGAACACTATATATGAGTTGTATTATACTTTGCAAGTGCCGCCTTGTGGTTTGAGAATGCTGCCTTGTAGTTTGAGAATGCTGCATTGTGGTTATATATGAGTTATATTATAGTTTGCAAGTGCCGCTTTGTGGCTTGAGAATGCTGCCTTGTAGTTTGAGAATGCTGCCTTGTGGTTATACTACTCTGCCTTGTGGTTTTAATTATGCTTTGAACACTATATATGAGTTATATTATAGTTTGCAAGTGCCGCCTTGTAGTTTGAGAATGCTGCCTTGTAGTTTGGGAATGCTGCCTTGTGGTTTTAATTATGCTTAGAACACTATATAAGAGTTACATTATAGTGCCGCTTTGTGGTTTGAGAATATCGCCTTGTAGTTGTGAATTTTTGCTTAGAACACTATATATGAGTTTTCATTATAGTTTTCAAAATCAAATTCGCAAAACGTGAAATAAGTGTTAAATATTAATTCCAGTACAGTTTGTGTTCTTTTACTAACAGAAAATAGATTTCAGATTTCAGATTGAAGACCTTTATTGTATGTTCTTTACATTTGAAAATACAAAGCATTATTATGAACTAAAATTAACTATTAACAGTTCATATGGATAACATGTACTATACTGTGTTACATCATGTATAATTCTAATAATATTGTCACATACATAGGAAAATCTATATTTGACCTGTTTAATATTCAGATAAATACAATAAATATGATTTACAGATGTAATGTTGCATTATGTTCTTGCCTTTCTTAGTTGTCCAGATTACATACATGTAGGTATATTATATATAGAATAAACTGTTTTTCATACAATTATGACATCACAATATACAGGTACATTGTACGGGTAAACTTTGAATAAAAGAATTAATTATGATTTTACCTTTACCTGTATATTGTGATGTGTGTTAATGTATGAAAAACTGTCTACCTGATGAAGATTTTATTTTGTTTTTATTGCAAATACGTTCTTATTGCAATTATACATTATTTTTAACAACAAAACCCTTCTTATTTTCACCCTGAGTCTCATTTAAAATCTAAAGTTAGTTTTGTTAAGATTTTAAATGAGCTCAGTGACATTTGAAGTACAAAAACAATGTCGTGCATTATAAAAACAACAAGTCTGTCAACCACGGTTGTCTCCCGGTTATCTTGTTGATGAATGAATTTGCTTACTTGATGAATTAAAATGTGCATCTGTTAAAAGTGTATTAGGTATCCGGGATTAGGTATATGTTCTCTAAAGTGATAAGAAAATATGTATGCGCAAGGGCTCATACGAATCAGAGGAATTATTAAAGTATTTCAATTAAACACTCATGAATATGTTGGTCTGTCATGGCGGATTTTAACTAAGATATAAATGTACATTGGTTATGTATTAAGTTTCTACATAGTGTATGTTATCGCAAATTGTACTGTTGTGCGAAGAGCGTGCAAAGAGATTTCAATAATTAGTCACAACGCGTGCAAAGACTTTTGTTACAGTCTTTACACGTCTATACACTGTGTACCAAGAGGTGTAAAGGCGTGTCACGAGTTGAATTCGTCGCGTGCCAAGAGGTGTCAAAACTAGGAACGCCTATACACGCGGCGTGTCAAGAGCCGTATCTAGACGTGTCAAGTTTTGGAATTCCATTTTTCACGCAGTGACGTTTGCTCAATTTTCCTCAGTACGCGTACGATTTTCCATTCGTTAGTATGTTTGTTCGTACTTACCATACGTACCGTTCGTAAGGTCGTTTTGACGTTACTATGAATACTGTCTATAGTCTTTTTTACAGATTATATATTGTTCTAATGTAAAACGAGGAATTGCAAAACACTAAAATAGTTTAAGTCATTCTAACATATAAATGAATAAATTTTATTCAGTTTACTTCACGAAAATAAAAAAGACTGGCAAAATGTTGATACATTGATTACATAAATGTTTGTATTTTTTAAGAAAATGACCTCTGTTACACAGGCCAGTTAAAATGCTGAACGTTACGAAGCATTTTGACAAAAAGCTTCGTAACGAAGCAATATTTGGCCAGTGTAACACCTCAGCCTTCGCTAGAAAAGCTTAGCTGATAACGAAGCAATTGAGTAGAAAATTCAACGAAGGTTAGGTCCCAACGAAGCTTTTTTGCCGGGTAGGGTAGGGTAGAGTAGGGTAACAGGTAGCTTCGCTAGAAAATGCTTAGTTGGGGATTTGCGCGTGCGTGCATATCTCCACCTTCCTGTCTTCTGTTAATTAAAATTAATCATGCCTCCAAAGAAACATACGGAAAAAATGCGCAACTAAGCATTTTAAGTGCAGTGTAACACCAGATAATTGCTTCGTCAGTGAAAATTCGTTGGATAAAGCCAGTGTGGACAAAAAATTTTCGCCAACCTTCGTTACGAAAATGCTTCGTTAGACTCAACCCAGCAGTGTAACAGGTACCAATGACCTTGAAATTATAGCTGATGAACGTAAATAGCTTTAATTTAAATAGTTTTATAGCAGTTATCCCCGGGATAGAAATATAATACAAATATAACACGCCTAAGTGCAGGGTTAACCTCCCTAATGTCTCACGTCTCCTGTGTTGGCATACACAATTTTAACGAACAGATATTTTCAATTTCAACATTTAATTGCATTTAGAGATCTTTAAAAATAAATTATAGGCTTTTTATCTAAATGTATTTAATATCAACATAATCATTGCATAATCATTGACAAGATAGAGGGAAATGCAAACTAAAACACAATTTATGAGATCATATGTTATTAAACGGCGATACAGTCTGTTGATCATACGTTCGATATATACTCAAACGTAATATACAATTCTAAACATTATATGTCGGAACATCCTTTCTTATTTCTGTGCATTGCGATTGAGGACCTTGATCAACGCACATAACCATGAGGATCTTGTTTCTTGTGTCGATCGTTTGTATCTATGCAGTTCATGAAACAAATGCATGGTAAGTGGAAATGTTTGTACTTTTAGTTATTAAAAAATCATTGATGTTCACGGGATATCATCGCCTACTTAGGTCAATGTGTAAGAACAGGTCATTTTTTCAAGAAAATTTCTTCGCAGATAAAATAACACGCTCTTACCAATGCTTAATTGTATTTGAATCATAATTAAAGGGGTTCCTGTGGCTACAAGGGTAAAGTGTACAAGCCTGGGGACAAATTTAAAGACGAATGCAATAAGTGCGAATGCAACTTGCACCAAATCCAAGATTTTGTGACTTGCCCCAACAAGACAAACTGTGAAGAGCGATGCAAATTTAAAGGTAATTTTTATTTATCGGGGATGCAAATGGTTAATCATTGGACAGACATAAACGGGAATACACTGTATGGGTGATAAAGTTGAGTTCTGAACCTTTTCGTAGGCTAAATGATTTATTTCTAAATAATCGCTTAAAACACATACTATGTCAATTTAATCAATTTCAGACTGTGAAAGTACAAAATGTCCCAAAATTTCTTGTCCACAAGGTTCACATATACCTCCGGGAAGATGCTGCCCAGTGTGTAATATGAAACGTAAGTATAAAATGTTCCAGTATTTCTTGTCAACATGGATCACATTATACCTCCGGGAAGATGCTGTCCAGTGTGTAATATGACATGTAAGTATCTTATTATATAAAATGTCCTAGTATTACTTGTCAACAAGGTTCACATATACCTCCGGTTCCAGTATTACTTGTCAACAAGGTTCACATATACCTCCTGGAATACGCTGGCCAGTGTGTAATATGAAACGTTACACCCCAGTCACATTTCCCACGGCCGCCGTGCAGTCTATCAATTCTGCGGCCAGTAGCTTTTCTACGCTCGTCGTAGAATTTCTGCGCTCTCATACTTTTGCAGTCACATTTCCCACGGCAGCCGCACGTGGAATTTTAATAAATGTTATTCATAGTGCTAGGATGTAATATCAAATGAAAAATGATCGTGAAACATTGACAAATAATGATTCAATCTTGTTGAGCCAGTTGATTTCTACGGGGACCTCAGAAATGAACAAATATTATAACTCCAAGTTATAATTTCTACGGCGACCCTGCGGCTTGTAAAAAAATGGATACGCCCTATGGAGGCCGCAGGGCGAGCGTAGTTTTCCTACGCTCGCCGCAGAAATACTCTGATTTAATTGATCTGCGGTAGACGTACGGCCGCCGTACGGTCGCCGTGTTAGTATTTAATATTATTAGAGTTAATAAACTCCTGTTTATATATTGAATTTCTCAATATGAGAAATATTGAAAACACAGAATCGTTTGTAACCGATATAGTTGTTGTTCCAGGCACTCATGTTTGCAAAATAATGCAATATTTACTATAAAATCGCTAAACTCAACTTCTAAATATTTGAATGATGTTTTACATATCAAATAAGTAAGATCCGTGGCTGTCTTTATTGTATTTGATTCAAAGATACAATAGGTGCAAATATATTACATTTGTTTCACTGTCATACGTTGCATATTATTGAAATCACCGGTGAAAGTTGAAAATGAAAGACCCGATTATATCGCGAATTCGATTCTATAGGACCCGATGCTACCGCCTGAGTATTCCGATTATACCGTGAGTAGAGCCCGATGAGGTAGTGAATAAGCTTTCGGTTGATCATATAACACAAATTAATTTATCATATATTCCTGGCGTCGGGATATAATATAATAAATATAAATCCCGCAACACTATACGTCAACGTCTGTGTGCCACAAAGTTCTTTTAAGCAGTTCTATCTGACAGTGCTCATAGTCCAATGATTTTAGTACGAACTTTGGTCCTTCGTTTTATTCAAAATCTGAATTATTTACTAAAACTGAACAGGTGTTATACAAAGTGATTATATAAACACATTTTAATCAATGGTTCGATACCACGGAATGAGGCCACGAAATATAAAAAATCGTTTAATTAGAATATTATACGTGTTGTTTTGTATCTACCAAGGCGGTAAACATATGAAAAATATTTATATATTTTGATTGATTTTAAATGTGCAAAGTTTAAAGACCCGTTATACTCATTCGCTCTCAATTTTGACTAAGATAAGATATCAGTGCAACGGCTACTAAAATGAAGACAGATTGACCAGTAAAATAAGAACCTGAAGCATTCATCATAAGATACCTTATGATGGCAATATGACTTTAAGCCTATTCTTGTCTATCAGTACACAAAATTGCAAAGACAAATCTGAAAGGACACTTGTCACTTGTTAATCACTTGCACTTGTTAATTTGAAATACATTTCAATAATACGAACAGAGAAGTCTGATTCTTTTATCCGTAACAATGAGTGAACAGTTACACAATTTTCAAATAACATCTTCACATTCCAATTAACAATCGTCACGAGGGTATTAGCAGGGCTCTAGCTGTGGTCGCATAAGAGAGCATCGGGATGATATCTAATACCTTTCTTATTTGATTATAAATTGCATTTACTTTTACAGGGATATAACTGTTTTGGAAATACAACATGTGATGTGATCAATGGTACAGCAGGTTGCCAAAGTAAGTATGAAGAGTGGATAATATAGCCAAATAAAATTACCAACATGGGAATGAGGAAGCAGAATGCAAGATTGGGTAATTGGACGTATATATACTTCGAGTTCATGTTTCGTACAGTGCACAAACATGGCACACGATAGGAAAAGATGGCGCGAGCGTAAATATGATGAAACTTTAAGTCGTAGTATTCTATAGTATACCAAAAAGATCGTTTTTAGTTTAACAAATCAAAACAAAAAGGGACCAACTTGAATAATCCAATGCCACTATTCCTGGGGGTTAGAAGTCGATGAATGATGTTAGTACACATTTCAGAATGCAGTCAAATAATGTGTGAGTTCTGCCAGTTCGGTTTCCAGACGGATAGCAATGGTTGCGAGATATGTAAATGTAAAACGAATCCGTGTATGGTAAGTGTAGGGGACGTTGTGTCAGAGTTTTTATATGTTTACCTACAGCCCCACATCCTGGATCAAATTGATATATCATGATAGTTTCCTAATGTATGGTTTATTGCTGGGGCGGTTTATTGTTTGGTTTATCAATTGCACTAAATGTTAATACTGAAGCACTAAATTATGTTCTTTTAAAAAAATCCTTCCTAAGAAATTGGATCAGAAACCTGGATGTATTCTTTTCTTTTTTCAATTTCCAAAAAATTAATATTACGTCAGTGTGATCATGCCTTATGACATTCTTTCATCATCGTTCAACAAGAATTTATAGGTATGACCTACAGGCCCGTATCCAGGATTAGCCAAGGGGTTCACTTTTTCAAAAATTCCAGGGTCCAGTTCACTTGTGACAATTTTGGTCCAAAAATGGCCCAAATCACTTAAAAGTGCTCAGAATGGTGAAAAACTGCATGGTTTTGAAAGATTTTTTGGCCTGGGGGTCGCTCCTTAATAATTGATTATTTTGTCTACAGGCTGATCCAAGCCCGTGCCCAAAGAGCAGCGCCAATCCCGTGTGTGTGGTACGAAACAATAAGGCAGTCTGCGAGAGTGAGTTGAGCTCAGTTATGTATCAATACTAGGGCAAAATCCATTGTCTACATGTGTTATTTACTTGGAAATACTAAAACCAAATGTTTCATTCATTGAGATGAATGCCTTTGTCACTTTCACACGTTATGTTCCATGAAGCCCAAAGGGCAATTGGAATATCATCTTGTGAAAATGACAATGGTTTCACCAATAATATAAGTGTCAAGTCCCAATCCTCAAAATTATTAATTCACAATCTTAAAGTATTGATATGATTGTGTTCTACACCGTATACTGAAGTAATTTAATTTCATTTGAAAATCCCCAGGAGCAGTTTATATCTGTGCTTATTATTCACCATCCAGTTGTCTAATTTGATACGGGCGAACAGTAAATATTTCTTCTGGAGTTTAATACTGATTCGAACATGACTGTGTTCCCGCCTTCTATAAACTGTAAAAAAGTCAACATTTCACCCGGGGTATATTCGCGAAGAATACCTCTGGTAATACGTGCAATGTGTGACGTCATAACGACGGATCGTTATCTTTCGTTAAGTTTTCGTACAAAAAACGCTTGTGCCTCCCCATGCAGGATATATTCGACAATATTACCCCTGCTCTTCGGTCTATATTTCTTAATTAAACTCCAGTTAAATAGCAACACAATATAATGAACTGTAGTTTATCTGAAATAACGTACAGCTGTATCAAAAGAAGTATACATTCTTTTTCTATTCTTTTTAAAGAATGGACACCTGGAAAGCTATCAAAAACAGAGTAACACAAAATACCCCTGGCTATTATTTCATAAAACAACCAGGACACATTGTTTATTTTTTACATAATTGGTATATATGGTGCTTGAAATGGTTTTCTAATATGTAGGTTACGTATCATATATCATATAACTACGTGTTAAAGCCTCTTTACCTTTGAATTTTTATTTACTTAACCTGCGATGAAAATACTTATACTATTGATGGAAACGTAATTTGACTTTTATTCCAATACCTCCAAATTTTCTCAATTTTTTTCTCAATTACAATATTGATGATAAATTGATGATAAATTTGAAAATCGACATTCCCATGTTAACCAATGGGAAATGGTAGGTTTGCCGCAAGTCATATGACAGAATATCCATCCATCCGAGTCCTTGCAAAAAATACGAGTTAGGCAGGCAATTGAATTTGCTAACTTTATTTAACAAAAAATTGATATGTTTCTTCAGGTTCAACAAAGTTATAGGGCTTTAAAGTCAAAGTTGTTTTTCAAAAAAACTCTCCCATTGAAATAACACAGGAGGCGAAAAATTATTTTCAAAAATGACTTTGAAGCACTGTAACTTTTATATTCATCAAATAAACTAAACACTTAGTGTTTAAAAAGTTAGACAATTCAATTTCCTATATGAAAATATTTTTTGCTGAATCTTTTACTGAAAAGATATCCTGATTTCTGATTTGCCCCGAACCCTCCATTTCCCATTTGATTACATGGGAATGACGATTTTCAAAATTCATCAAATTTATCATCAATTTTCGACCTATTGTAATTGAGGAAAAAAAATGAGAAAATTTGGAGGTATTGGAAATAAGGTCAAGTTACGTTTCCATCAATATTATAAGTTATTTTATCGCCGGTTAAGTAAATAAAAATTCAAAGGTAAGGAGGCTTTAACACGTAGTTCAATGGGGAAAAAAGGTTGCCAAACTTATGGAGGGGAGTGTATGTAATATATGTATGTGGTAATTGAATCACGAGAAAGGAGTGGTATCGATATGGAGATCTTTTCGAAAACACGTTTCTCTTAAACCAGTCATAAAAAACACATCGTCAATTAAATGGTCATCTTCTGAATGGTAACAATATCATTTGAAAATATATATATATACTTTCATCTATATTGTTTTAGAAAACACATTAAACATGTACACTTTTTTGTTCTTGGTATCACGTTTCCAGAGTGAAATGAAACATCTTTCCGAACCTCATTGGAACAAAACAACATACAAACAACATGTTTAGGTCTCTCGGTATTGTAATTGCACCAAGACCAAGGAAATTTGGGTTGATTTTAAAAAAGTATCTTGTTAATGAGGGATTTTGTTTTAATTTTTTGAATACTTTTTTAAAATCAACCAAAAATTAATTTGTATTCCTATAATATTGAGAGGTCTAAAATCATGTTGTATATGCTATTTTGTTCCAACAGCAAGGTTCGGAAAGACATTTTATTTCATTCTAAAGAATTGGTAGAAAGGAGCAAAAACAATTACACTAAAAAACAAAAATGTTAACAAAAGCAGTTATATAAGATATTTCTAAATAATGTTTGCATTAAATTGCTGTCAATCAGTCAACATTACATAAAACACCGTGTTTTTTACAAAATGTTTTCAATGATTGGTTTAAGAGAAAAACATTGTTGAATTCAGTTCTCCATATCGATACCACTCCTTTCAATGTCATTGGATCACTCTTCTATACCTAACCCCTAAAAATGCATAAGATACTATGTTTATCTAATTTTATTGTTAGTATATTTTTGAAAGTACCTTATTACCACCTAACAGTCATCCGATAAACCATTCACGAGGAATGGACACATGAAAACAAATAACAAAGTCATTACTAATGAGCGAAATGGGTTGCTCATGAACACCAAATGCAAGGTATAATAGAGTGTAGATAAAAACAGAAGTAATGGTATTTTCTACAAACGCAATCATATTGTGTTGACAGAATGTCCTGGGATCTGCATCATGTCTTGTGAATATGGATTTAAGACAGACAGTAACGATTGCCCAGTGTGTGAATGTAGAAGTAACCCGTGTACACAGGTACTAATTACGTTGATAAACAAAGAACAAACAAGAATGAGTTTTGTTTGGCGATATTACATAATGTTACGTAATATATTTCTAAGTACAAATTGAAATAAATGCGATTATACCATATACATTTGACTAACTACCTAAAGATTATATAATAAGTGTATATGTAGTTACGTAATTAAAAAACAACCGCACGTGACGTTCCACTATGAACAGTTCTCTAAAAGCAGTCAAGAACAGAATGAGCACAGCTCAAATAAATGAGATTACAATAAAAACAGTACATACAATGTTCAAAAGCGACGTAAATAATGATGAGTTAGAGTAATCATCGTGACAAATGAAGAAAACAAACAAGCTGTCATAAAATACCACTTAGCAACAGGAAAGCTAATAAAGTGTGCGTAAAATTAAGAGTCAATAAAAATCGTAACAATTTATAATTGCGTAAACCCCCATAATTTATAATTGCATAAACCCCCATAAACCATTCGAAAAACAAACAAAAATGATAACTAGCATAAATAGGCAAGGATTAGTAATCTAAGAACAGCGCGGAACTCTATTTTGAACATGTTCAGAGATATATAGACAAAGAACTATCTTATCAAGCCTTAGCAACAGGAAGGCTAATAATGTTATATAAGTGTGCGTAAAATCTGTATGTGCGTAAGAACTACACTGCGGTCGTCAGAGTCTTTCTTCGGAACAGCCTGCAAGGGTGAAATAACCTACGCTGCATAGAGGATCTATAGACAGTTATTTCACCCTTGCAGACTGTTCCAAAGAAAGACTCTGACGACCGCAGGGTAGTTCTTACGCACATACAGATTTTACGCACACTTATAACATTATTAGCTTTAATGTTGCTAAGTGGTATTTTATGACAATTCCAAAACAATGAACACATTGAAAATACATCTAAATGGCGTTCGTCTAATTTATTGGTAGAGTCCATTTCACTGTTTAACTGCGTCAGTAAAAGCTAAAAAATAAGAAATCAAAATATCATTTTGCAATAAGATATGGAAAAATATATTCCTATTGTACATGAAAGACATTTGTATATCTTGGATTGCTTCTAGTTTGGCTTATTAAGTGTGTGGCCTCTTATATTTGGATGCTTTCTGCCATGTTATTTTCAATAAGATTAACATGGCTGATATTCTTCAAATTACAAGACGGCACAGGCTTATTGCACAAAAAACTAAAAAAAATCTGAAATATACAAATGTCATTCATATACATTGTGAATATACTTTTCCATATATTATTGCATTATGGTCTCCCAATTTCTTATTTTTGCCGTTCTACTGACGCAATGAAGCAGTGAAATGGACTCTATATAAACATGTTTATGATCAATAAAAGTCTGAAATTACTGCAAATAATACTACATATAATTTTAAATTGATAGACATTTAGACAAGCCACTAATTAAGCTCATTATTTTCTTGTTTGCTAGTTCGTTCTCTGAGTGAAGCAATACTAATTTTTGTGCATTTTAGTCGAAATGCCCATCAGACAGGTCATATTGTGTTGTGGAAAACTACAAGCCAGTTTGTCAAAGTATGTACAGTCAACACTTATTTTCAATTAAGATTAAACAATTTTGCTCCACTTGATATAATATTTTTTCTTTTGAAAGTCAAGCATAGATAGAATAGATTTATAAGAAGCAAAAACTGATGAATTTTGAAATTTAATTATCCCCTTTTAAAATGACATCATAACCTGGTGACATCATTTTTTAAACTCTAATAAACTCAGTTAACATTAAATTTAGATTAAATGCAATATAATTAGATTAAATAATCTATCAAAATGAATATATAAATATTACATTTATAGGTAGTATGCGAGTTCACGTTTTGTATTTTAGAATGCGGTCCCATCAGGTGTAGCATGTTCTGTGAATTCGGAATGGAGATGGGTTCAGATGGTTGTCATATATGTAAATGTAAAGACAATCCCTGCATGGTAAGACATTCACACAGAGTTAGCTATGCAAGGTGTGTCCCATTCCAGCCAATCAGAACACTGCATAACTGACATATAAGAAGTGTAATATTGACACTCAAGATAGCATTCCATATTTTGCAACAGATAAATGGCAATGGGTATTTTGATTCGGGGGAAATGATTACCCTTATCGGTTTCATAAATCCATGCTGGCTGTTTTTTATCTCCCATATGAGCATATTACTATTATTTTCGATGGAGAATGTAAAACTTTAAATAACCTTAACATATCGGGAAATGTAACAGATTATTGTATCATTGGTAGAATCATTGTATTCTGATTGGCTAGTGCAGTGCCACGTGATAGAAATACTATGTATAACATATTTCACGCTTCCGGGCAAAACATGAAATAGAATATTTCCTTGAATCATTGCTATTATTCATATGTCATTTATTCATTCTCACTTTTAGAAAATGAATTGTCCTCCTTTACACATCTGTGAAGCTCAAAAAGACAGAGCGTGTAAGAAGCCCATTGTCCTGCGATTGCCAAGTGCAAAGGTTTGTTCAGAAGACGGGTATTTGTGTAAAAGGCATAAGCCAACGATCAAATAATATTAAAATATACAGGGTGGTCAAAAAACGGAAACTCTGCATTTTCCTTATATCTTTGTCATTTTAATAAATTTCTCTCTGATATTTCACAAATATGTTTATCATTCAATTTCCTACTATCCCTCCATATTTCATGACCATTAGATTCATAGTCATTATTTTACAGCACTTTGAAAAACATGCTTCAGGTGTGGCCATCATCGCACTGTAGGCAAAACAGCACAGTTGTCAATGACCCAAATGTATTCCTCAGCAGGTATGGTCTCAATGACACGGACGATCTCACTCTTGAGGTTTGCAATTGTCCTGAGGTCATTCTCCTACACTGTATCCCTGCTATATATTCATAGATAGGGACATTTTGGACAACATGTACAGGTTTCCCGGCAGCGCAAAAGTGGCAACTAGGGCATGTTTCTAAAGTGCTGTAACATTGTGACTATCAATCAGATGGTCATGATATAAAGTGCGGGCTGGTAGGAAATTAAATGATGTACAAATGTGTAAAATATCAGGGAGTTATTTTTAAAAATGACAAAGATATGAGGAAAATGGTGTAAGGGTTACCACTTTTTGACCACCTTGTAGATGAAAGTGTAATCAACCGATTTGTTTACATATCGTCTTTGGTATGATAATTAAAATACATACTCGTATTCATACTAGCCCGAAATTGATCATATGTGCCTATAATTATTACGATATGCGAGTCGGGATTGAGGGCCATATCCTTGTTGTATATGTTCACGATGATTAAGACATGGACCCCTAGCATAAATAGAATCCACCCAGTGTTGTAAATGTACTTCTTAATCTTTACAGATCACCCCGCCTTAGCATGTGTACATCCAGAAAAAGATGCAAGTGGAAATATAAAAACATGCGGTACCATGAATTCCAATTGCAGTGATGACTACACTTGTCAGATGTCCAGAGGCCAATTCCCGGGTGTATGTTGTCCTCTGGCGCAATGTAGGTACTTCAATAGGCTTTACAATATCAATGAAATCGTACCTTCTCTTGACGGTTGCAATACTTGCTTCTGTATGGGTGATGGTAAAATTGGATGCACTACGAAGGCGTGTCCTAAAAGAGGCTGTACTCATAATGGAAATAACTATACACACGAAGAAAGTTTTTCTCGAGGCGACGGCTGTAACACCTGTAAATGTTCTGATGGGGATGTTGATTGCACTAAAGCCTATTGTGCCCGTAAGTAACACTGGGATTATTTTAGAATTAATATTGTTGATATTCCAACAAATAAACATACCAAGCAGGTGTCTAGAATGAGAAAGAAGATATTCTGGATCTCCGAGCCCTGCGATTGGATCAGCACATTTATGTTTTATTGGGGTGATGTTTCATTACTGGCGTCCTGCAGTATGTTCATGTAATAAACAATATTTGATGGTCTGTTTTGTTGTATTACGTGAAAACGAGTAATCACACGTTTCTCAAAATATTCTTTGTGTACGATGAAAAAATGTAAACGTTTATTAGAGTCAGTATTAAATAAACAATTCCTGATATGTATACATCTGGAATGGTACGCAACATATTTAAGATATAATGTCAACCGTGCACAATTGCATACCATTTACACAAAAGAGCAACCACTTTTATAATTGTTCTTAGAAGAAATGAATTCTCACATACTTGTTTTTGTTTTCAGACTGTGAGGAGAATGGTTTATTTTATGCTGTAGGGGAATATATGAACCGAGACGATCCCTGTCTGATATGTCAATGCACAAATAATCCATTCGACATTACGAGTGCTAAAATCGTGTGTGCCGTCAAATATAGTTGTACCCAAGCTCCGGGCCTCACTCCTTAACTTTCACCCAGTCCTGACATGTGACTCCAAGACTGTATCGCACAAAGATATTTTGGACATTTGGAATTTGAAAATGGAACTCATGAGAGAATATTCACAAATTTAAAGAAACTTTTAAAAATTGAATTATTGCCTTTACATTAATTATGAATTTTGTCAAAATCATTGATGAGGTAAGTATGTGTATTATCAATATGCAAATTATTTGTACGAATAACACACAAATCGAACACGAACTCCTTTAGAGTGAGAATGTTGTTTTAACTCAATTTTCATGGTAGAATTTTCATTTTAAAAAGAGGTGCTACCTGAATAACTTGACCGCGAATGTATAATAATAAAGGAATTACTGCATGGTTGTCAGCTGTTTCAACCTGAAGGACGAGGTCATTCCCTAAGTAATGTAAAAACATATTTGGGACAGTGTAGTCCTATATAGTTCGGGTCAGCGCTGTACAATAACGAACTAGAATACTTTTATGCCCCAGACACATTTGCTACGATGGCTCTTAGTCTAGTATTAATAGCAACCACACGTTCGTCGTATAATTTTACCGTGGCATACTTTTGCAATCACATATACTACGACACCAAACCATCGCATTGAGTAATATCTGCAGAAATGGGAGCTACCAATCCATCATAGAATTAAGAAAACAGCAGCTCCACGGAGTAGCAAAACCAACCAAACAAAACACATTTTGTTTATTTTGTGGCCAGCTCCGTTGTCCTTGGTATCAGCATGTATAAAAGGTGAACCAAATCCATCTACTGGTATTTGAGTATCAAGGATTATGTTTTTCGGAAAAATGGCGGCCATTTTGAAATTCGGCCACCCTCCTGAAACTTCAGAGTTACTGTTTCCCTAGGCATTAGCATATAATTGGCTATCCTGAAAGTATCTTATTTGCAGAAATCCATTGTCCTTGGGCATCAACATATAACATTTGAAAAAACCGTCTACGGGTATGAGTTATTAGATATTACGTTGTTTTGCCAAAATTGGCGGCCTTTTTTAAGTTTTGTGGCCATCTTTAAAATGTATTCTTGAGAAGAGACCCTTTGTCTTAAGGCATCTGCATATAAAATCTGAATCAAATCTGTCTACCTGATTTGAGTAGTCAGATTACATTATTTTACTCAAAATGCGGCCATTTTGATTTCAACTGCCATTTTGAAAATTCTTTCTCGTTCAGAGCTACCGGGTCCCTTGACATCAGCACATAATATTTAAAATTATAAATTTCTATTGATTTTAGATCTTTTTCTGAATCAACACACATCTTATATTTCATTTTGATAGTCAGATTCAATGCTTTTAATATCAATATCCTGTTTGAGGTAAATAGTGTTATATGATTAATACAATACTCCAAAACAAATATTAAAAACAACACTAACATGGTTTATTCAGAGGGCATTGTATATGACAGACATATAAGGCAAAGCTGGGATTTCCAACAAAAGTATGCAAAACCGAATGAAATATATAACCCAGCTCTAATACAACACTACCCTTTTCCCTTTCAGTATTTAATGTGTAGAAGAAGCTTTTATTAATAGAAAGAAATAATAATCCATTGTATATTTTGGCTTGTTTAAGCTTATTTAGTTGTCAGTATAACAGGTCACTTCCATGTTTTTTGAATGCATTTTATCGGGCACTGGCATGCTGAGAGATTTGTAAATTAAGATTTCCTCGAAAAGTGAGTCTCTCGCATGCATTACATTTATCATACAAATGCTACTAATAAAGTACTTTCTCAAACGTGAACTCAAAATAAGATGACATCCATACAATGTTAATACATTTTGCGGAGTTTCCGTTATCTTCCACTAATCTAGTTCACACCTTTGATCGAGGAACTTTGTGAAGGACCATCTAATTTAGTCTCCATATAAGGCCCATTGGCCAGTTTTTAAAACCCGTTGATGTAATGCTCTCCAATGGCTTAAACACTGTAACCTCTTTCAAGATGCGTTGAATGAACATAAACATAAACATATGAATCCATTCCATACACATTTTATTGAAGGTAACTATATTGAACAGTTCGTCCGTTTTTTTAAATGATTATGCATAGAAAAATTATTATCATAGTTTATGTGTTTTTGTACGTTTCGAAATGCAACCTCGTTCGCTGCCTTGCAAATGGATGCAGGTATGCGTGAAAAGTTCTACCAAAAAGATTTTCATTTTGACATGTAAAAGTTCTATACCGTTATTTCAAGGATGTTTTAAGACAATATGTTACTTCCAGGATGTTACTCCCATGCAAAAATATAATTTCGTCGAGAATGCGGGATACAGGATACCACATACCACACCTTGCAACAATGCCATGATGAGGGTTATCATCTGTTGAAATTATATAGATTCAAAAAGCTAATTTGTTTGAGCAGTCCAAGTCCGACATAATGAAAACCCCGAGTTTACAGCACGGCAATGTTAAATAATAGAATTCCTATCTACATGTATATGACATAATTGATATATTTAATCCGTTTTTGCAATTTCCTATACGTCCAATGATTCCGCAGATTACCTCTAGATTTTAGACTTATTTTAGTTCTTCGGTTCTCTGGGACCTCGGTGACTATCTAGAGCGGAAATCTGGAAATCGTATTTTTCTTTTCAGAGTACGCACGTGCGTACATAGAGATTATCCTATATGTGGTTCAGGATATCGGGATTATCCCGAGGCCATTATAATATATCTGCCCTCGTGAGATACACATATTTCCCTTGGGATAAACCCTGTATCCAAAACCTCCCAGTACATAACCCTTATATCTGCCCGCTGATGAAAATATAAGTTTTTACAAACCTGCTTTATGTACCTGTAACACGTCCAAGTATGGGATAAATGTATCAACGCCACTGCACCAGAGCATCGAACGAAGTTAGGAGGGATAAAGGGGACGCCTCCGTCCGTCCGTCTGTCCGTTCGTCCGTCCACTCATACAATACCCCATGTTTTCTCCGTCCACTTTTCGAAAAAAAACTTTTTGCAATATTTCAATTATTTTGTTTTAAAATGAAGTTTTAACGATCAGATACTACAGAATATATCCCCACGCACCTGTAAACGGCAATTTGATCAGCAACAATGATTTAAACGCAAGTTATTACCTTTCAAATTTTTTTGACTGGGGTATCAGGCGCGTGGCTGAAAAACATTGTTCCTAACATCGCTGGAAATAGCCGTATACACCAATGGAAAGCGTTTTTGAATCCCTATTTTATGGTTCTGATCACACATAAAAACAATGACGTATAGTATACGGTTTTCTCCGTCCACCGAAAAAATGGACCCTATCTTGTTACAACATTCGGACCTATCTCTCATGAGATTAGAAACTTGAGGGAAATTATTTTTCATATCTTTCTCGCTCGATTCTTCCGCTCAAACTTCGTCAGATTTGAGAATATAGTCTAAAGAACATCTCCTTGACAGGAATTTATCCACATTTAAATATATTTTGAGAAAATTGATGTAATCGAGATTGATTTTTACGCTCCTTTTACCCCATATTACGAGCGTTTTTCGTAAAACGATAATTGTTTAGATTAAAGTCTCGAAACATTATATTATACCTGTATAAATACATTAAATAAATCACGGCTAATAAAATACAAACTTCTGATGTACTTTGCCAGAACACAGTACGTTAATGAATACGCTAGATCAAGAAATGCTTGCCCGTCTACGCGTATTTTACCCCAAGTTACGAGCGTTTTTCATCATTTATTTATTTTTTGATTTTTTTGTTGTATAATCATATTATCGAAAAATAACCCCAATATACATTTGTAAATATGTTTATACAATAAAGACACGCATTTGAGAAAAATAAGACGTAAGATGCTCAATTGATGAAAGCGCTAGGCCCATTTTAAGATTACGAATGGTGCCCGTCCGCTGATTTTGAACACTCTTTTGTATTATTTAATTTAATCTATTAGAACTAAATTATTCATAATTGCACTTTGGTTTACGATTAATTGACGAGTTTTAAACATATCGGTTGTAAACAGTATCCAAATACCTACTGTTTCCTTACCTTGTATATCATTTTGCACAGCAAAACAACCTATTTTTTAAAGAAATCAATTATGTCACATTTAATTTCCCTATTAATGATTGTTACGTTATCTATGTAAACCTGAATTTAAACTCTCTAATTAAACTCTCTACAATTGGTTGTATAATCGGCTCACAAATACATGGTCTTGTTATCCAGATAACGCTTAAAATTTCAACTAAATCTGATAACAGGTATTGGAGTTATCATCCTGACAAAAAGCCTTGAATGGTTTGGTGAACTTTGAGATCCACTATGTCTAATTTCTAAACAAAATTGTTTTAGTAAATGATAGAAATGTGTCTCAACAACAGTGGACAAAACTCAAAACATTACAAAAGATATAATATGTTTTCAGCAAACAGTCTGAAGACCACCCATCAAGCTTACTGGTCTTCAAACTGTTAGAAAACATATTAGATATATGAATGCAGATATTAGCATATCACAATATCATGTCATTAAATGTTAAGAAAAGGTACATATTAGAGTATAATACGTTGGCACCGTTTTCACCATGTTTCCTACAAACCAGCAAGCGTTACGAATTTAAGCTACACTTGAGAAACTGCATCCCGGGAATTCTTTGTTTGTTTCGTTCAGAGGGATGGCGTAATCGAGCCAGGAGTTAAAGTTGAGAAATCTGGTAAGTTCAATTTCATATTCATTTTGAATCATTTTGGAGATGTTGTGATATTATAAATGCAATCATTGTGCTCTTACTTATAAGATATTATTGTGAATTAATTTATGACTGATCAAACAAGGAAATTTTGTATGTAAATGCTGGTTTTGTAACTTCTGTTTTGTCATGGGCTTCAGTCTAGTTGAAACGAAAGGCCATGGTTTTGTAAAATAATTCTTACTCGAGACACTCAGTCAGTCAGTGGCCATAGAATATGGTAAAATAATTCTAGAGTCTCATTCCCCGTCAATCATTTGCCTGTGGCGTCAATAGACTATAGATCCCAGACCTTGCAGTTTGATTTGGGCTTTCATTTTATTCTAACTAGATATCTAAAGATGAGGAAGATAAGAATAGCCAAGGACTTGGAATAGCAAAACTGATTTGGCCTTGGGCTGAAATC